TTTTTGTCGCTAAGAAATAGCGAGAAACTTTGGCGCCCTAATTTTCGCTACGGATTTTGCAACAAAGTAGGTGTTACAAATTTATTAATATTCCGCGACGGAATTAGTGACGAAAAATCGTTGCTAAAATTATAAATATATTTTTATGGAATTTAAATTATGTAGTGACGGAATTATCCGTCGCTAAAATTCAATGTAGATAATTATATTTATTTAGTAGCAATGGATGTCATAATCCGTCGCTAAGTTTGTTGCAATTTTTTTAACCAAGTCATCAGTCCATAGAAAACACAAAAAGGAAACAAAAAATTACTATCTGTAAAAAATAGGGTTTTCTCTTAGTGAAATCTCCCATCTAGCTGAAGCTCAAGTGAAAGCTCTTGGTGAAAACTCTGTATCAGGTGAAATCTCTTGGTGAAAGCTTTGTATCAGGGTAAAATTTCTCTTAGTGAAAGCTCCGTCTCCTTCTCCTTTTAATTTCTCCCATCTCAGGTGAAATGGCTCCCGTCTCAGGTGAAAGGTGAAATTGCTCTTGTCTCCTTCATCCTCAGGCGAAATGTGAAATTGCTCCTGTCTCCTTCATCCTCAGGTGAAAGGTGAGCTTCTGCCTTTGGTAATTTCTCATTTTTCATCTGTTCGGTGAGCTTCTGGTGCGATGAAGAGGAGGGCGTTGAGTTCTATTTGGTGAAAAACAACTAGGGAACGGGATGTGGTTATTAGGGATATGCCAAAATTAAACGTAGTGCACTCGCTTGCTTCTACTTTGCTCTAATTTTTGATTTTGAATATTTTTCAAATTTTGTTTAGTCTCTAACCTCTCTTGCTTCTGCTTTGCTCGGTGAAATTCTTGAAATCTTATTTAGGTGGTCAAGTAGTCTCCAAGCTGGTCGCTGCCCAGAGAAAGGTAACATTTCCTTCATAATCTTCTCCTCATCTTCTTCTATGTCTCGCTACTCTGTTGTTGTGTCACTGTTGTTTGTAGATGAGAACTGATGACTTCAATTTGCTATATATGTGTTCTTAGTGGATTTCCTTGATTCATATTAATGTGGAAGTTGGGTTTTGTCGTTTAGTATCTAGTATTGTCGCTTATTTGTTCCTTTGTTTGAATCCTTTTTCGGTGACTCCTCTTCGATATGTCGTAGAATCTCTGTTCTTCGTTTTCATTGTCTGTAAGCCCAAGTTTTACATTCAGTTTTGCTACTATTAATGATGCTTTCTTTCAAAATAAAGATAGAATCTTGAAGCTAACTAAGGTGAAAGTTGTTTGTGTTTTTGTTTTGTTGATGTAGTAGATTGTTTTCAAATCCCCTGATCATTCTACGAATCGAATTTATGTTTCCATCTGCCTAAATTTTAGTCAAAAATGCCCACTGTTTGTAATTAAGCTTATAAGGTGTGAAGTCATGTTACTGTCCAGATTGTAGTTTGCTTTCAAAGTCGTTGCCTATTTCTCTTTTCTAATCATCTCGACATGTTGTTCTGCTTGTATTTTCAATCTTTTTAAGTCCTTGAAGTTTGGCCTTGTTAAAAGGTTTGATATTGGTATAAGTATGTGTATGTTCTTGGTGAGTTAAATAAAATGTCACGGGTCAATCTTTGTTGGCCTTATTGTTCAATTCATAAAAGATTAGATGTAAACAATTAAGAAGTCACTGAATTTTGTTTCAGCAGTTATTAAAGTAGTATATGTTTGCTTTTGTTTTATTTGATAGCTACTAGTTATCCTTTCTTTCCTTAAACTCGTCTCTTGTTTATTTATTATACTTAATAGCTTAGTAGCTATTAAGTATACAATAGAGTAACTTTTTTTTAGATTTGGCGAAATAGCTTGAAGAGCATTTTAGCTTCTGATTTAGTGAGCATTAATTTAGATTCTTCTTTTTCTATCTTTTATTTCCAAGTTTTATAATTACTATATATATAGGTAGTTCTAGGTGTACATGTTTATAATATGCACCATTTGTTTAGAGACAACTATCTAACTATTGCTTCTGCACATACTCTTCAACTTGGTATCCATCTTTACATCCTTATATTTTATTTGAGTAGTTAACTTCTTAGTTTTTCATTTGAACGAACTAGGTATCTTTGATTTTTAATATATATTTTTCATTGCTGCATCAGTTTAGCATTTTAGATGTATGAAATTATGTCTGCTTTCATTTGATAATACAACTACTAATATTCTTGTGCAGTTCTCACGGGACAAGTCTTTCACCCAGCGAGACCTTGCTTCTCTACTTTGACGTAATTTCTCTTTTCTTCATATATTATCTTTGGTAGATAGGAGTTCCTTTTAGCTTTTGAAAATGTTACTATTATTTTCTGAAACTGTTTGTTTTATTTGTGTGTTTAAATACGTTTTATGCTTTTAAAATAACCTCGAAATGATTTGATTCAATGAAATCAGGAAGGATATTTTGTCTTACCTAATGCACTTGAGTTGGTTAGTGTTGTATGGTTCATTTGTAGAACTTAATTTAGTTTGAGTATTTTGGTGTTGAATATACTGATTTAGGTGATTTGGGGTTTAAGTTTCGATTGAATTTTTCCTCTACCTCAGCTTCCCGTCTCCTTCATCTATTTCCTCTAATTAGCCTTTGTTTTGAAGGTATACCATCCGGTGTATGTGAAGCTCGAAGAAAGACATAGACATCTGGTAAGTGTTCTATTTCCCCTTCTTCTTCTTCTTTCCACTGTCATAAAAAGATTTTCTGTTGAAGTTAGAAAAGGAAAATGTTTCTTCAACCATCTCATATCAGTGTTGGAAGAAAAGGAAATGACGTGATGAACAAAAACCAGTACAGATAAAAAGAAAAGAGAAAAAAGTAAAGAACAAAAAAAAATTAGTAAAAAGCTTCCACCTGAAAGGAACCAGTGATGTTCTTATAGCTTGGCTATCTTATTTGTCTTGATTCATTCTCTTCTATCACTCATTATTCTTTCATAGCTTCTTTCTTACTTCCATTTTCATGTTCATCTTTTTCACATCAACAACACTAGTATCATTTCCTTGATTTACAAAGTCAACAGTTTGAGTACAACTATTAAATTGTTCCATTGTGATTTCTTTTCAGTCTGGAAGAACGAGTTTTTACTGTTATTTCTTTTGAGAAATATCTATAGTTTTATACGACTAGTTAGACAGATGACTAGTGGTTCTAATCAGGCATGGTGAAGTTTATATTTTTTTAGACGTCTTGAGTTCTATTATTTATTTTCTGATTTAGGTTTGCCAGGTCTTTGTTAATGTTCTTCTATTTTCTGTCATTTGATTAAAGGTTCTCAATGTTGGTGCTCTAAGATATAGGTAGTCATTTGACGTTTTGAGCTCAACTAGTAACTAATTTGATCAAAAAAGCTGGTTCAAAGATGCCTAATTTCAAATCCCTTGAGCTTCTGCTAGAGCTTTAAGTCCTTCTGCTTCCTTCATCTTTACATATAAATCCCCATCTATTATCTGCTTACGTCTGTAGAAATCAGCCTTTGCAGTTGCTTTTTGTGCCTCTGCTTCTTTCTCCTTTCCTTAGTGAAATGCTTCAGCTTCTTTTTGTTTCTTGTAGAGCTCTCAATTTGCTTGTTGCACCTTTTACACCAATGAGGCATTAGAAACTTCAAAGTTAGGATTTTTTTTTGTAAGTTTTATGTTTTATGTAAAAAGTAACCTAATAATAATTGTGTCTAATCTACTTTCATGTTAAATTACACTGATAGTGTGAATTATTGTTAATTCTCGCATAATCAAAGATGTTACTTTCTCCATTCCAGTTCATGTTCTTGTTAATAACCAACACAATCTGATGTTAAAATATAGCAGGCACTACTGTTCTACCCTAATCAGAGGATCTGGTTGATATTCACTGGAAGTAAGGCTTACTCTTTATTTTTACCCCTGATTTAGCTCAAAATTTAACTATCGAGGTATTTACTTTACTGAATGTAATTAGGAAGATGCTTGTTGTCATTGTGTCCAATGTGCTTAAGCAAATTTAGTTTCTTTATATGTGTTTTGTGTTTTGTTATTTGTATGCTTGTACTATTAGTTCCTTATTTATAAAAGAAAGTATATATAGTTTATACTCTAAAGTAAGCTGGCTGGACTTAGAATGCTTTATTATTCTGTAAGTTGACTGGAATTAGAATTCTTCAGTAAGGAATTTTTTTTTTAGGTAAGCTTTTTTTCAGCTTTCCTAGTGAGAAATTTTAGTTTCAGCTCCTCATTTCTTTAATTCACTGGCACAAGAGATCAAATTCCTATTGTTGTGAAAGTTACTGAATGAATCTATTTCATTCTAATTCGAGAAACTGTTTTTGTTAGTTCGATCTCTATATTTTGACTAAATTTAATGAATATGAATTAGAGTACCTTTTGGTCAATCAACTAGTGCTTTTTTAGTAAAAGTTTTGTTTGTTTAAGAATTGACAGGAACATGAATAATCTAGAGCGTGGTTGGATGTATGAGAGGTTGGATGGTCGTGGGGCAATAAACTCTAGTTTCATAACCGGTGTGGATAAGTTTATCCAGTTTGCATGTACACAACAGGATCGCTTGAGTGGTGACAAAGTTAGATGTCCATGTAAAAAATGTCACAACTTTAGATTCATGGATGTTGAAATCGTTAAACATCACCTTTATAAGACTGGATTTGTTGATAACTATTTTGTTTGGAAGCATCAAGGGGAAAAAGATGTGATCAATGAGATTTCTTCAGGTCAAGATTTGCATGGTAGTGCTCAACCTGAATTAACATATGATAATCCATACCGACAAATGGTTTTAGATGTTTCGTGTCCCAACTTTTCCCAAGGTTCAAGTTGGCAATCTTCTAGCAATATTGAACCTCAGCCAACTCATCCTTGTGAACCTTTGATGGAGGAAGATCCTAATCACGACTCTTAAAAATTATATGATTTGCTACAAGTAGCTACTCAAAAATTGTATCCCGATTCTTCTCTCTCTCAACTTGCGCTTATCTCTCGGATGTTAAATATTAAAATGGAGAACAATATGTCACAGAGAGGTTATAATCAAATGATGGAATTGTTGAAAGAGGCTTTACTTGAAGATAACATGGTTCTTGATAGCTATTATCAGACCAAGAAGCTAGTCCGTAGCTTGGGTTTGCCAGTTGAAAAAATTGATTGTTGTGAATCAGGATGTATGTTATATTGGGGTGATGATGAACACCTTACATGTTGTACATTCTGTGGCCATGAGAGATACAAGCATCGTGTCGGCTCTCGTAAAATGAAATTGGTCCCTTATAAGAAAATGTATTATTTTCCTTTGATTCCTAGATTGCAAAGATTATATGCATCCCCTGCTACTACTGCTGACATGAGATGGCATCATGAGCATACAAAAGAGGATGGTGTAATGCGTCATCCATCAGACTCTGAGGCTTGGAAGCACTTCAATGAAAGTCATCATTTTTTTGCTGTGGAACCAAGAAATGTAAGATTGGGGTTATGTACTGATGGTTTCCAACCATTTAGTCAGTCTGGGAGTAAATACTCTTCATGGCCAGTGATTGTCACTCCTTACAATTTACCTCCAAGGATGTGTATGAAAGAGGCTTATATGTTCTTAACAGTTATTGTTCCAGGGCCAACCAATCCCAAACATAAAATTGATGTTTATTTGCAGCCTCTGATAAAAGAACTGACTTTGTTGTGGGAGACAGGTGTGGAAGCATTTGACATCTCAAAAAAGCAGAACTTTCAACTAAGGGCAGCTTTAATGTGGACAATTAGTGACTTTCCAGCATATTCTATGTTATCCGGATGGAGTACTACTGGTAATTTAGCATGTCCCTATTGTATGGAGGAAACACAATCCTTTAGATTAAAACATGGTAGAAAAACATCATGGTTTGATTGCCATAGGATGTTTCTCGACCAAAATCACCCATTTAGGAGAGATCGTAAAAACTTTTGTAAAGGCAAGACTGTCCAAAGATCATCACCACCCTATAGAACAGGAGCAGAATTATTGAACCAAATTTGTGACTTGGGCATAAGGAAAGTAACAGAGTTAGATGCAAACGAAGTTAATCGAAGATTATGCAAGTCTTGTGGATGGAAAAAGAAAAGCATCTTTTGGGATTTGCCTTATTGGAGTTCTAACATGATTCGACGTAATCTTGATGTCATGCATATTGAGAAAAATGTCTTTGATAATGTGTTTAACACAGTTCTTAATTTTGATGACAAAACCAAAGACAATCCACAATCACGTCAAGATATGGTAGAATATTGTGATCGACCTCAATTGGCAAAAGACAGTAGTGGAAAATATCCCAAAGTTGTATATACAATAGACAAGGAAACAAGAGCTATCTTGTTCAATTGGGTGAAAGGCTTAAGGTTTCCAGATGGGTATGTTTCCAATTTGGGTAGATGTCCAGACACAAATGCGAAAAGGATATTTGGCATGAAAAGTCACAATTGTCATGTGTTCATGCAATGACTAATGCCTATTGCTTTTCGTGAACTACTTCCTAGTAATGTGTGGCAGGCACTTACAGAATTGAGCTTATTTTTAAAGATCTTACTTCCACCACTCTACGAGTGGATGACATGGAGAGATTGGAGAGAGATATTCCACAAATCTTATGCAAGTTAGAGCGTATATTTCCTCTTGGGTTCTTTGACTCAATGGAACATCTTCCTGTGCACATTCCATATGAAGCAAGGATAGCTGGACCAATGCAATATCGATGGATGTATCCTTTTGAAAGGTAAATGTGAAACTTTATGTCACTTATGACTAGTTTGTCATACATTCCTTTTCTAATGTAATGGTCTATCCATTTTCTTTATTTAGGTATTTGGGAACTCTTAAAAGGATGATTGGGAATAAAGCTAGTGTAGAGGGTTCCATTTGAAAAGCGTACTTGATGACAGAGTCAACACAATTGTTTTCTCATTATTTTGAACCTCATGTCATGACACGTAATCATAATGTGGAACGTAATGATGATGGTGGTGTTGTGGAAGATCTTGAAGGAAATTTATCAATATTCTCCCATCCAGGTCGAGTATGGGGAGAAGCAAAAAAAAGGGATTTATCCCTTGAAGAAATCAAGGCTGCCCAAACTTATATCTTACTAAATTGTGAGGAGGTTGAGCCATTTGTGAGGTAACAAAAGTTAGTGGTATTTTCTTAATGATATAAACATATCTTTATTCACGACTATCAAATTAAACTTATTTTACTATGATGAAGTATGTTCATGCAATGTTTGCAAGAAGAATTTCCGAATCTATCTCAGGGTCAAATAGATGAGAGCCTTGAAGCAAATTTCTCTACATGGTTCAAGGAATTTGTAAGATTTCAAAACTACTATCTTCTATGTGGTAATGTGCTTAACTTGACTTCGGAAATTTTACTAAGTCTCACAATTTTTTCAAAATAGGTCCGATGCAATCCCATAGAGAATAAATTCTTGAGTAGTCTTGCCCGTGGACCATTAATAAGTGCTACATGTCATTCTGTTTATTTTGTTAATGGATACAAATTTCACACAGAATGTCATGGTAGCGCAAGATCAACAATGAATAGTGGAGTTTGTATCTCAGATTCAAATTTTGGTGATTATTTTGGACGGATAAAAGAGATTATACAAGTGGAATACCCTGAAGCACCTTTGAAGCAAATTGTATTATTCAAATGTGAATGGTTTGACCCAACTATGAATGTTGGTGACAAAAGGCATAATCAGTACAAATTGGTTGAGATTAATCAACGTCGTCGATATAAAAAATATGAGCCTTTTATTCTGGCAATGCAAGCAACTCAAGTGTGTTATGAGTCGTATCCGAACAAGAAAAAGGACAAAGATGACTGGGTAGCTGTATTGAAGGTCAAACCTCGAAATGTTATTGAATTACTTGATGAGGGAGTGGAGACAACTTCAGAACTGAATGTTACATTCCAAGTTGATGAAGTTGAAGTCCACGAGATAGATATGACTGTTTCCATTGATGAAAACATACTCTTAAATGATCCAAATGGGGATACACTGGAAATGGATGAACCCATTGATGATGGTTTATTGTAAGAGCATCATGAAATCCAAATAGAATCAACAGAAGAATATGAAACTGAGGAAACTGAGGAGGATGAAGATGATGAAGAGGATCAGGAAGATGAAGAGTTTGAAGAAGACATAGATAGTGACTAGGGCTTGATAATCTACTTTTGTATCTTCACCGTAATTTGTTTGTATTAAGTTTTCTCCAAATATTCTCATTTTCTTTAGTTTCTATTTTTCAAATTACGGTGATTAAAATCAGTAACTCTTGGATTTTGACCATGTGTGTTCTATTTCTTATTTTAACCTTTATTTAAATCTACTTGTAGCATTAATTAGTGTTATACATACCAGGTAACTGAATGTTCCATTTGAATGAGAGTTGTTTTGTGATGCTTTGGATGCCTAGGAAATCTCCACATTCACCTTTTCCCCTTTTTTAGCTACTGTCTTTTCTTTATCATTGGTCATTTTACATTGGTTATGGAGTTTCTAGTGCCACGTGTGGTGTCTTTGATGGCCAATCCAAAGAGAGTTTGTGTTCTCTTCCTTGGTACAGGGAAAACTAAAACAAATGTTATGCTTTGTGGTCATTTTACATTAGTGTTATTCCTACCAGCTTTGATGACAGAATGTAACCATCAGGCCTAGGTGCCTTATCAGAAACACATGATCTAATGGTATTCAACTTTTCAGTCTCTTAAAGGGCTTCTACAGTTCCCTAATATCCTTTTCTGTGATTGTATTCAATTTTTTTAGAATCTAATATAGATTTCTGAAACTCATTATTTGTGTAAATCTTCTAACCAAACTCAATGATAACTATTTCACTCTTTTATATGCAGGCATAAGTGTTTTCACTTGATCTACAAGCTTTTTTAGAGGTATTTTTAATATTTCAGCACACTTCAATGAGGTAGCTTAATATGATTTATACTAGTGATAAGTGTTTGACTCTAGTTTCTGTTTTTGCAATACTTCTTTTTTCGGTGGAACAAGTTGTTTGGTGATAGTCATTTGCTAGTCTCATTTTTTTCTCATACAACATGATACTATGTGGGTCTGCCTGTATTTTGTTTTGACATTGGATAAGTAGCTCCCATCGATCGTTGTTGTGTTTGTAGTTCCACATCACTGAAAGTTTCTTTGTTTAGACATGACAATAAATTTTTCAGGAAGCCAACTACATTGTTATAGTTTTCAGGAAGCCAACTACACTGTTATATTTTTTTATAGGTATGGCTCGAGGCAGAGGTCGTGGGAAGTCCTTTGGTAGGAGTAGTCCTGCTATTCATGTAAGCATGCCAACTATTCTGATGCCCACTATAGTTTCTCCTCAACAAGGTGGTACCACAACAGTTGAAACATCAGATCAAAGTACCACCCCAACTATCTCTGAGACACCTCCAGTTACACCAAATCAGAGCAGTCCCATAGGTCAGGGTCTGTCTACTCAGAGCATTCCAACAGGTTGTAGTAATCCAATTGCTGAAGGTGATCTATCTACTCAAAGCAACTCAAGAGGTCATACAAACACAGTTGATACTGATTCTAGTAGTAACCACTCACGGACCCTTATTTTTATAAATTCTGCAGGGTTAGTCCATTCTTTTGCTTTTATCCTCATAACCTGTTTATACTTGAGTGTAGTTAATATTGGTAGTCTTTGAATCCACAAGTTCGAGTAAACAAATTATAATTTAAGGTTCTATGTTAAGAAATGCTAATTGATGGATCTAAAAAATCAGCAGCCTACTATAATCTGAGTATTCTTTTTGTTAGCACTCACGTATATAATGTCTGATTATAATAAAACTCCAAATAATGTCTTCAAATTTACACAGGTTGGAACTTTCTATAATATGCTCTAGTTTCATAACCAAGTCTTTCAGAAATGATGTTGATCCCAATGGAATAAATTGGAAAAGTGTTTCAAACGATGTAAAAGATGGTTATTTTGGAGAATTTAAGGTATTACTTTTCATCGTAGATAAGTTTGGAAAGTGTATTTATACTTATAGATAGGATATTGATATATTACTTTCAAAATTTATTTCAGAAAAAATTCTATTGGGATGTTTCTATTAGTGAAAGTGAAGTGAAGAGACACTGGTTGGTCAAGGCCGCTATAAAATACATAAATTTTATTTCTAAAATAAAAGGGAGAGGAGTTAGGCCAGGTTTTGTACCTGAGCATGTTTGGGAAAGATGGACACAACTTTGGGGAAGTAATGAGTCCAAGAAAAAGTCAGAAACAAATGCAAAAAATCGTCGTGGCAGCTGTGAAGTTGCTGCTGGGACTCACACAGGTGTCTCTATCTCAATTGGAGAGCATCGCAAGAAACTTGTAAGTATATATTTCACAAATTATATGAGTAACATCTTTAGGTTGTCTGAAATATACACTTGTATCTAAATAAACATTATGCAATCAATATTTTTGTATCTAAAAAGTGATTTTTCTTTTGTAAAGGCTATTGAAAAGGGTCGAGATCCAACACCAAGTGAGTTACATTTACACGTCCATACGCATGGTCATGATGGTAAATTTTTTGTTGACGAACGCTCTCGAATTGTCCATGTAAGTCCAAAACTTTGAAACCTATCAGAATATATACATGTCATTTCTTATTATAAGGGAAAACTTGGCTGAAAATGAACAGTAATTTAGTTTCATGGTTGGATGTTGTTATCTTGCTGCTCAACTGATGTGTGGACTGTTTACTTTTTGATCTTTGTAATTCATTCAGATGTTAGAAATATTTGAAAATGTTTCGACTTATTATTAGACTGTAAATCAGTGGTGTATCTTGTTTGCTATTCATGTTGTTTGCTTGCCTGTTGTCTCCTTGTAAGTCCTCTTATTTCACTGTTTTGGTTGGCTGTGAAAGTCGTGGTTCAGTCATGAAGTCCGAAATCATTTTCTATAGGAAAACATAAATGGTCGTACATGCCCTGTTATCCTACATTACGAGTTATTTGTTTCCATTTTGTTTAGATTATAGTCAGAAAATGCGTACCATTTGTAGTTTTAAATATGAACTTCATAACATGTTTTCCTTATCTTTGTCTTGTTTTGGTTTTCATGAGGATTGTGTTAGTTCTCTTCACTACGGGTGTAAAAGTTGCCCATAGTGATGCTATTTCAACATTTATTCTATGGCCCTTTTCCCCCAGTCCAGTCGTTTCACTGAGTATCATAGAGGATTTCAAAATGTGCATGTTAATAAAAAAAAATGTTATGAGAGCAGAAATGAGATCCAAATTTTCAGGATCAGTTTGTGGTAGCCTACACATGTTTTCAGCATCTGATATGTGGCCCTCTTCCCCCAGTCCAGTAGTTTCACTAAGTATCACATAGGCAGGGCATATAGAGAAACAGTTGATGCCTTGCCACTGAGAGTGCTGAAGAGTAGCTTGTACATTGCAGCTG